CATGGGAGAGATCCTGTTCAGAACGAGAAACGCATTTTGAACACAGTGATCAAGGGATGTGTTTTAAAAAATGTGAAATTTCGTGTACTTGCCCGTACGAAAATAAGTACACATTCTCCCTTCTTCCTTTCCCTTCCTCTTTCAATGGATATTCTGCCTTATAATTTCAAAAGTACTCTAGCCTTTATGAAAAAAAAATTTTTCGATTATTTTTGTTATTACGCTCAGTTAATCAACTCTCTAACCAGCTGGTTTTGTTTTGTCCAAACAAGTTTTATTCAAATTTGATTTTTTTTTGATTTGGGTTTTAATTATTTTACATTTTGCTTATCACATTTAATTCAACATTTTGCATAGCTCAGATCTTGCCCTTGGCTTTTCAGAAGGCTATGTCTGGTGTGACAAATATGACTAAGATGTCGCAAACTTAGTGGGCTGAGCAGTATTCGTCTATTCAAGAGCGGACGAAGTTTAATGGACCGTAAACCCTCAACTATTTCATTTTACAAATATTAAAATGCACGGAACGAAATGGGCCGCAGCTCCTTAGTTAGTTGATCAGGCGAAAAGCAATGAGGAGGGGAGGGGGGGGGGGAAAAGATTTCAAAATCCGTCGCAAAACGTAAAAAAAATAATTTAAAAAATTTAGCCTGGTGGAGCAAAATTCGCCATGAAAAGCGATATCTTGCCAGAAATGGGAACAAAACAAAAGTGAAAATTGCCAGTAGACTGGCCACTGGTGACCGGTTGGAAAAGTTGTCAGTTGCATAATTGGAGAATCAAGCAATAATTTGTAGCTTAACAGAGTGTATTTTTCTTGGGATATATGAAGATTCTTACTTGATGGGCTCGCGCCACCATATCAATATCCAGTCGCCTACACGTTTCGACGAGAACATCTTCACCGAAGCCAAACGAAGCACCGCGAAGGTTCGGCTCGAAACCTTTGATACCAACCACTGGATCGGCCCATAACAAATCCATTTCTAACGATGGGCTCGCTGGTTCCAACGGACGCTGCAGGTTACGTAGCTGTAAAGTACTCGTAATATTTATATTTTAAAAAATATTACATATATT